ATAAGCATATCTGACGTAATTTTCGAAAATAGAAATTTTCAAAGGCGAATGTTTATTTAAAGAACCCTAAAAAACTGTCCGAAATAGTGCTCTCTACGCTAACGGGAAATAACTTATAACCTACCATAGCGTAGCCTATTTTCGGCCTATGCGCAGAATAAGTACCACTCTGCATGCGCGAGAATCCGTATCTGCTACTATGACAAATCTAACGTTATGGGGGTGATTCTGGGATGTTGGAAAAATATTTTCAAGGTACTGGGTGTGCTACAGAGTCACACAAACACGCGTTGTTACCCCGGAAACGATACAGAACGATATAAGCATATCTGACGTAATTTTTGAAAATAGACCTTTTCAAAGGCGAATGTTTCTTTAAGACTAAATTTGAGAACATCCCTTTCATTATACAAAAAATTGAATGATGTTATATCAAAAAATGTAAGAATGTCTTTAATAAGGAAATACAATGCATTTCTTTTTATTTCCATTAATTATTTGATGTTATTATTGTTTAACCTAATTTAATGTTAATTGCACGTTAAATTTGTTAAGAGAAACGGACCGGTATAATTATAATCAATTAATTAATGATTATGTAGGCTCATTAACGTCATTTATGTGTACGAGTTTGTTAATACAAATATAATTACAAAATATCATTGTATTTGTTTATCAAAGGCACGTTACTCGCGCGCATATTATTATGTCACTAACATTAGGTCGTTAGTAAAATACAATCCGAATATTACGCAAGAATAACTGTTGCCTGAATATTGCATCAGTTCGGCATGACATCACGGGGAAATTTCGTGTAAAAAAATATGGGTTATAAATCCATAGCATAAAATGCTGCAGAGAAAATCAACGTAAAAATATATATCGACGTATAAAAAAATTTGAGATTATTTTCGTTTTAATCCACATAACAAAATACAGATTGTACGCGTGTATAAATCATGAATACTAAAAAATGCAGGAGATTTCGTTGGGCGCGAGTTATGCCAAAAATTGATAACAAAGCCCCGTATTTCAATGTGTCAGCCTATTTGAAACCGTTTAAATTGCGGCAAGATATCGGGCGAACTAGAAAACTAGAGCAGGAAAACTTGAACCTATTGAGGAAAATGAATGTGATTCATCGTCTCGGGGTCAGTATCGTTCTGTGCCACAACCTCTTACTAAAATGAACGAAATTCTATATACATATAGTGTATATCGTCACTAAGAGAAATTATTCTTTAAGAAATAAACAGATATTTCCGATCAAAATATCGATGAATTTTTGTATCCGATTAGGAAACATCCGATAAAAAATAGCGGTTCAATTTTATGATAGAAAGTATTCGATTAAATTTAATCGGATATCCTGTTTGAGTATAAAAATTCATTGGTATTTTGATCGCAAATATCTGTTTGTTGATTTTTTATCGAATAATTTCTCTCAATGCGTCGTGCAAACTTAATATTCGCGTACATTGGAAAATATTCTCTAGTCTTCAGATCATAATTTTGAATAACTTTCGACAATATTAATTTGCATGTATAACAAATTCGTCGAGATAAAATACTAAGCGTTTCTTTCATCTTCAGGGAAAGGTGGATTGTTGGGCGCCGGATGTTGAGTACAAATCGAAACTCCTATATCAAGAGCGAAGAAATAAAGAAATCATGAGAGAAAATCAACAAATGCTGAAGAAAATCAATAGAGCGACGAGTAAATATCCAACACGCGAGTCACTAGAGGACTGGAAAAATCGGCAACGGCTGATACAACACCGCTCAAGGTTAATTATTATTCGGTTGCATACGCGAATATTCCTACATGTAAAAAGCAAGTAATTCGGTTTCATGTAGGAGATTAAACTTCTTTGCAAAGCATACGATATGTCACGCAGATTTTTTTCGACGATTGAAAGACAGTCCGCTAAATTGGACATCGAGAAGCAATTAGTCTCTCAGAATCGGACGAAATGCTTCTTTGACGTTGGGCTCAAAGACGAGAACTGCAATTTCGGGCGAATAGTATTCGAGCTCTACGACGATATCGCACCGCGAACATGCGAGAACTTCGCGGCTCTCTGTCGCGGCGGCAACAATGGATTGTCGTATAAGTATGTAAATGACAAACGGTAAGAGCGAATAATGCCTTAATTTCGGAAAGTCGCAATGAATTAAAAAAACAGTCTCTCTCTTTTTCTCCCTCTCTGATGGATTAGAGAATAGCCTTGAACGATGCTCAATATTTCATTGTTTTTCTCATCGCATCACTTCTTTAAATTAGTCATATACTCTGCCATATATATATATATATATATATATATATATATATATATATATATTGTTATTTACATTGTTACAATGTTCATCTATACTACATATTACAGTTTCTTTCTCCATATTTCAGTTTGCATGTCTTGGAACTAGCTTTCACTTGCTCTTTTTGTGTACCTGAAGTGACATCTGTATCCCATGGGGGACAATAAACTCTACTCTATTCTCTCTTTTTCTTTTTCTTTCTCTCTTTTTCTCTAAAAATATTCCCTTGAGAAAAATATTACGCTAGAGAAATATTGACCAATCTTCCGTGGCTTTGCTCGGGATTCATGAAAATTAAAGTCAAAACGTTCGTAGGTGCAATTCATAAAAAATTTACAATTCACAGGCGCACCCCATTTCATCGTATCGTCGTCGGATATTGGTGCCAAGGAGGGGACGTCACGAGGTTTAACGGCACCGGTGGTACCTCTATATACGGCGATTCATTTGAAAACGAGAACTTTGAGCTGCGCCACGCAGGACCCGGCGTCCTGTCGATGTGCGCCGACGATGAGGGTAAAAATGATTCCAAATTCAATCTCACGTTTAAGCGCTTGGAGACTGTAGACGGACGTAATATCGTTTTCGGTCGAGTGACTGACGGAATGGTGAACGTTTACAAGGTAAGGTAAAAGTACAGATACTGGGACATTATTCTCTAAAATACGATCAGCGTATTCTTCACTAAAATGTGTTATATTTACGCGACCGGCGGTTGAGTTGTAAATATAGCACTGTAATCAGTAAAGTTCACTGATTGAATTAGTTAATGATTGCCATTATTAGTACGTTTTGCGAGTACAAACAGTATCATTGCACGCAAGATGTGTCGAAGTCATTGATTCCATCGTTACAAACGCAGAAATTTGAATTCGGTACAACGTAAATAAATTTGTTTATCACAGATTTTGCAGTGAAAATCAGTGAGAAATAAGACGAAAAAATAATGTAAGAGTGAAAATATTCATTGATCCTCGATGAATTGGTTTGTTTGCTGATTCAATCAGAAACATTTTTACTGATTCACTTTAAGAGAATAACAACATTGATATCTAATCCTAAACATTATTAAGTCTGTTCGTTTTCGAGGAACTTCTGAACTAATGCAATAAAAGTTAAAGTGAAACAAGTATACTTTATATTTTACTCTAATTTATTATAATATTAACATACACTATTAACATTCATCTATTAACATACACTAGTTTAGAAGTTCTTCCAAAATGAACAGACCTCTTATTGTTTTGGTTTTGAAATACAAATTTAAATTTTCAACGATATATATATATATATATATATATATTGAATATTATATTTCGCTTGAGCCAAATATATATTTTATATTGAAAGTTTAAATACCTATATTAAAAAAAAAACAAAATAATAAGAATGTTTAGAGTTAGATTACTAGTATTATTAATGTTCAAGTATTGATACTTTTGCCTTTACGATGCCGCATCGAGAAGCCTCGCGCTTGTGGTTGGTAACTTATGAGTAAAGCTCGCGTGAGCCAACAACGTTGCTGGTGACAGAACTGGCTTCCCGCCGTTCACACAGTAGTGCAACGTTACCAGCTGCTAGTGTGCGAGCACAAAATATAACTAATATTATAGCCGCAAATTCGAGAACAGCGCATTTGCATTCAAAGAATAATTAGTGCGGAATAATTTTGAACAGCATTGACAACTGACCGTTTTGACATCATTGATTAATATCGAACGGGAACGCGCGGTCATATGCGGCCATCTAACGGGTAGCTAGTAAATTATGAAGAAAGACAAGTCTCAGTTCGAATTATCCGTTCTTCAAGAAAGTCGATTTGCATTTAACATGACGTACAGTCTTGTAAGTGACTCATGCAGAATACCTATCAGTCACTCATCTCGTTAATGTTTGCCGACAAAAATCCTCGCGTATAGATTCAAATCGAAGAGAAATTTTTATTTTCGTACTGAAAATATTCGGGAATTTTTCGGAAGACAGAAAAGAGGAGAGAGAGAGAAAAGAGAGAAGTCACATATCGAATTTGTGGTATTAATTTTGTTCCTTTATTTTGTATTTGTATATGAGGCACAAAAGTTTCACGTGTACCGCGATATCGACAGAAATCGCCTCAGAAATCAATACTTCCAACGGTATATATATCTAGGTTACCTGTTTTTTACGGAGAATAAAAAAAAGAGTGAAAGAGAAGGGATGAAGCTGGTGTCGGTGCCGTACGGCGCATCGTGTTTCACGAGAATTTAATTACCGTCGCGCGTTCAAATTCAACCACACAGTTGCGGTAAACTGTTTATATCTGCCACGATTAAATAGATCGAGGAGTCTGGCACGAAAATCGGAAAGCCAATAAAATCGGTGATCGTATTAAATTGCGGAGTTCTGTCGGCGAGGCGTACGCACGAAAAACCATGCAAACCTCAAATATAAACAGACTGCATTATCATCGTGGGTGAAAATATAATTTATTGTAGTGGACTGATTGTATAATTACAAGTACTGTTGTTGAGTACTCAACAACATTTTCCATCGGAAAATTGAATGAATCTAGAAGCCAATGTGGCGCTATGTGAGAAGCCAAATAAAGAGTATGCTAAATCGCTAAAATTGTCATCTCTCTAATTACCGCACAAATTGCTAATTGACACATTAATGCCGTGTGATTATGTTTCATGTCAATTTACAGCAGCGTTAGGCATTAATCGATTCAGATGTTGATTGACTGAAATAATCGGCAAATCAGTAGAGTCAAAATTAATCAATCGTTATATATAAAATCACAACTCAATTGATCGATGAAATCAACTATTGTGACCTCAGAACCTTGAACATCAAAAAGTTACGTAAATCCTAACATGAGTTAATTTGATTCAGCACATTTTCATTCGCTTACAACCGTAAATATGATAAAAAAAATTCCGCTTACAACCGTAAAAATAATGAAAATTCAACATTTTTTTCCTTTTTAGATTAATGTAGAAAATATTAAAAGATATGAATCTATGGTCCGTATTAATAATTGTCACCTGAAACTTGTCGCAATATTCAGTTTTTTGTTCAGAGTTATATCGAAATGTTACTGTTGAATTGTACAATATATGTGACATTATATCTGTAATCGCAATTTAACTGAGATACTTTCATCTAACTCTAAGTTCAAACCTAAGTATCTCACTTGAGAGGACTCTTAAGTAATGACTGTTAATACGGACTTATCAATGTTTTCCGATTCAATTAAACTGAAGAAAGTTATAATGAAAAAACAAAAGACATATTTTTAAGAACTGTATATTTGAAAAGTTGATCTGAGTAAATTTTATATTTTTAGGGTTAACTTGGATTCGGTCGATAACAGTGATCAATAATTAATTGCATTAATTGATAAAATTATTCACGATTATATATATGACAACTAATTTATTTGCATTATTGGTCTGTTAATTATTTCAGTCAAATGGAGTTTTATCAATTAATGCCCAATATTGATTAGCAGGCGTAATCAATTTCCACGTCACTATTGAAAATGTATTCCAACACTCCTTGCATAGATATTCACTTACACAATGCAAATTCATACCCGGCACAACCTCGGCATTAATTAGAATCTTAGAGCGGCATCAAATTCGAAGCTCGATGTTGAGAATTGATCAATATGTATACTGAGAAAGAAAAGCAATTGGATCGATAAAATTGACAGTCACACGCCTTCAAAGAAATATCGCATCTGTTGAACAAATTACGCGTTACTGCAACAATAAGTTGCGTTGATATAATTACTGACTAAACCGCAATCACTGAGTCGATTGATAACTCTCACCATAGCAACTTTATAATTCGTTTAACCTCGACTAAATGTCCGCTTGAACGAATTTTGTTCATTCGTGCAAAATCTTATTAACTCTACTACTTCTCTTTCTCAGAGTAAAAACCGCGATCGCGACGATGACGTGTTCCTTCCTGCGAGATCTTTTTTCGTAACTTTTTTTTTATCGAGCTTCCTCTCATTAAGCGCTTCTCATGTGAGTAGTAAAATAACCAGAGAGCGCGCAGATACGTGGCACAGGAAAATGAATAATATCATCGCATGCTCAAGCTTGGTCCGATATAATGATGAATGCAAATAGAAGCCAGTAAACAAATAAAAGCGTGTAAATAGAGATATAAATTGATTCGATATCGCGTGGATGTGGATTATGCCGTTGCTTTTTTGAACGCACATCACGGGACAAATACTGCTCATGTGTGCGCGACGATTAAATCATGACTGGATGAACCGACATTTACAGCGATTCTGGGATGCGCGCAAGCGAAACTGATCAACGTTCTCCGCTCTTCAAGATTCGCAGTAAGATTACAAATTTCGACCTAATTGTCAGGCGCGCTTATTTTGCAACGATGTTTTGTAACGATGATCTTTTCGCGTCGTTATCGTTACGCGTCGTTGCGCAGGTAACATGCACAATAGCGACCGCGGTAACGACGATAACGACATCGTCGTTACCAAGTTAGATAACGGGCGTACCGGTCTTTTCATACAAAAATCGTAATCGCCGTTCTTAACTGCTTTGCAAAGCATTAAGTGCGCTTTCAAAGATACGTTCGCGCTACTGAATTTCTTTTCTTGTTTAGACATCTTTTTTCCGTGCTTTAGACGTTTTTTCTCAATGTCAAATGTCATAAAACGAATAAGAACGCGTGATTCGACTCATTTACAATGAGAAATCGCACGGAAAAAAAAGATATGGTGTGCATAACCAGAAATATTTAATTGCGAGCAGTATAATTGCATCACCCTAGTTATCTTGCATTCAGAAAAAAATACTTGACAATTTACTTGTGTGTGTGGAACAAAAAGTTTATTTCCCAGAAATAAACTATTTTACTGAAATTAACTTTATTTCGTAGAAATAAACTCACGAGTAAATCTTCAAATACTTCTTTTTCAGTGTGTGACAGTGATAGAGTATGGTTGACATGATTCAGTTACTTTAGTACATCAACTACATCAGTGCAGTTACGCGTGATGTGGTTGTGGGAACCAGAAATCAGTTGGGGTGACATTTACTATGAATGTGTTCCGGTTGGAGCAACCAAATATCGTCACTGTAACTCAGCAATTGCTCTGTGGTTGCAGCAACCGTATAATTAGTTGCCCCGTATTTTACTGTTGAATGTGGTTGGCACAACTAGATTTGTGTGTGGCTCAGCCACATAACTACTGTTTCTTCCGTTCGCGATTTACAAAGTTCTGCAATAATGGCCGGATTAACTGAACGGATATATCCGTTTCTGATGACAAATCAAATGGCTTAAGAGAGTCCACCACACAGTAGAATAACTCGAATACAATAAAATCCCGAAGCTCTCCACTTCAAAGAGTTCGAGCTGTTTGGCCGAACTTTTCGTCGACTTTTCGGCAAGATTCGATATCGGACGATATCGAACGAGACCAGAGAAGGATATGAATTTTACCGCTGTGCCCGCTGCCGTTCATATCGCGACTAAGTGAAACAGGATGATGTTGGGCAAAATCGGCATGAACAACAAAAGCGAGAGAATTCCCCTGTGGAAAGAGGCTTTATTCTCTCGGCTTTACGATCCCATTATGCGCGCAATGCACTCGGTCTTTTACGATTCCGAAAGATTTGTTGACAGTCGGTTTTCTCCCTTACCCCTGCTTGTGCCAGAACAGCGACATATCGACCGTAACTGCAGCTGAATATTTCTGACGTCTCGCGAAGCATCCACCGCAGACGCTACCGTTATCGCTGCCCCTCACGTCGTACATTCTGCGAAATAATGCATACTTCGCATTCACAACACTGACCCGACCACCGTTTATGCTCTGAGTAAGATGCGGTAATACGAAAGGGTCTTCTCTTTGTCCATTTCTTTTTCTCCGTTTCTTCTATCCTTTCTTTGCTTACACGGGAAATATCATTATTCAGGCAGATAAAAGGGGGAGAGAGAGAGAGAGAGAGGCGAATGAGATGAAATATACGAATACAAAATATGAAAAACGAGGAACAAATTTCGTGATAATAAAAAACCGGGTATTATTTTTACATTTTATTTCGCACTGTCAGCTAACGGCGAGATACGTTTTCGTTGATTCAGATTCTGTTTCTTCTTCCTCTCTTTCCTTCTTCCATTCTCCTTTGATTTACGATTTCACCGCTCTCCACGGATATTACCTTTTTTTACATAAACTACATGATATATTTATGTGAAACTTTAACTCATCGTCCTCCATGTAATGGTCCAGAGAACGTCGGATATATTTCATCACAATTCCGTCATCATTTTTCGCGACTTTTATACGTTTCACGCCTCTCTCATAATTGCCGCGGCTTCTCACGTAATATTTATTAAGTCCAAATTAAATCTCGGCGTAGCTGCCGCAGTTACGAAATGAACAATTGACTTTCCCGGCAGTAAATAATGTTTAAGTGTATTTTAATTGTCGCGGGAATTATTATTATGACATCGTAATAGTGATGATATTTATCATTACGTTAATGTGTACTACCTTAATAGTGAATATATATGTACGCGGTTATTGAATTCGCGATGGACATTACGAAAATTGCGATTGCGACCGTTACGACGTTACAGCCGTCGTTGCTATGATAATTAATATTGCAAGCCTCTGATTCGCATGCACATACACATATCTAAATATGTATACACACACACACATACGAATATACATAATAGTGATTATTATCACATTAAAACAATTACTAATACGGGCGTCATTCTAGCATGAAAATCTCTTTAATGTTCGTCACGGTAATTATGATGTATTAATCGCGCGTATTATTATAGGTGATATTAATCGTAATTATCCTGAGAGTAAACCCGCTATCTAATCGAATTATAATTTAAGGCATATTATGCTTTCTGCGTCGCTGCGCAACAGAACCGAGGAACTGCAAAACGGAACATCTAACGTCGAGATGCGTGAAATCGTGAGACCGTCGTATTTTATATTCGTAAAAAATGTCGAGTTCACCGTCGTCGAGAGAGAATAGAGATATAAAGAAGAAATAAAGATAAGAGCTGAAGAAAAATAAGAAGTCAAGATAAAAATAAGGTAAAGAGAAGTAAAAAAAAAACAGAGAAAAAAAGAATCATAGAATTGACAGCGTTCCTGCTAAAACACTGAAATTAAGATTAGAAAGATAGAGATGTATTAAACGTAGAATTACTCAAGCGAGTTAGGAGAGTTAGGAGAGCACCATTTATAGGGAAGAAAGGAGTGAGAAGCTGCAGCGTGTTATATCATTTCAGTCTTAGAGCTTCTCTTTAACTCCTATTAAAGTTTCTCACTCGCTCTCATTCGCTTCTTTCCTATTAATGGTGGACAGGGTCCGGTCCAATTAGGGATCATTACGCGGTGTCCTAGCTCTTACTTGAGGAACTCTAGTTAACCGAGATGCTTCCTCTGCACGGAGAAAATATTACAGTCTTTTCTCATATAAATTCTTTTCAATTTTATTATGTTTTTAATAGTCCAGAAATAGACTATCAGTAAGATCTATCTTGCCAGGGAATACAATAAATTTCGTTAGAAATATAGCAAATTTTAATTTTA